AGTCTACGGTCTCCGCCAAGCACCGCGTGAGTGGCACGACACACTGAGGACTACGCTTGCGGCTCTTGGGTTTGCTCCCTCTACTGCTGACCCGTCGTTGTTTCTGCGCACCGACACTTCTCTGCCGCCGTTCTACATCCTCGTGTACGTCGACGACTTGGTCTTTGCCACAGCGGACACTGCTGGACTCGCCTACGTGAAGTCCAAGCTGCAGAAGAGACACACGTGCACAGACCTGGGTGAACTGCGCAGCTATCTTGGCTTGCAGATCACTCGGGACAGAGCACGCCGCACCATTACCCTGACTCAGTCACACATGGTGCAGCAGGTCCTTCAGCGCTTCGGCTTCACGTACTCCTTGCCTTAGGCCACTCCTTTGTCTACTCGCCACTCGCTCTCAACTCTGCCTTCGGATGAGTCCGTAGAGTCGAGTGGCCCGTACCCAGAGCTTGTTGGCTGCCTCATGTACCTGATGACCTGCACACGACCTGACCTTGCATACCCTCTTAGCATCTTGGCACGCTATGTTGCTCCTGGGAGACACCGACCATAGCACATGGCTGCAGCGAAGAGGGTGTTGCGCTACTTGTGCAGTACGTCGGGCATGGGGCTAGTGCTTGGAGGGCGGAGTCCAGTGGTCCTCACTGGGCACGCGGACGCTTCTTGGGCTGACGACCAGGCTACGCAGCGGTCGTCGCAGGGTTACACCTTCAGTCTTGGTTCCGGCTCTGTTTCGTGGCGGGCTACTCGCTCGTCTTCTGTTCTCGGCTCCAGTTGTGAGGCTGAGATCTACGCCGGGGCAATGGCTTCTCTGGAGCTTCGCTAGCTCACCTACCTGCTGACTGACCTTGGAGAGCCGCCTCGTTCTCCTCCAGTGCTGTACGTAGACAACAAGGCCATGCTGGCCTTGTGTCGAGAGCAGCGCCTGGAGCACAGAACGAAGCACATTGCTCTCCGCTACTTTCTTGCTCGTGAACTGCAGCAGCGTGGTCAGTTGCGACTTGCGTACGTGGCCTCTGAGGCCAACACTGCTAATGTTTTCACCAAGGCACTTGCGATAAACAAGTTACAATCATTGGTGGGGTGGTGGGACAATTGTATATGCCGAATCACATACAACACATACACACATAATATAATTGTACCTTTCACTGCAACGAGTACGGCTATGTTCTGTGCGCACACCACACAGCTTCCTGCATATGCGTGTGCTCGAACCAGCCCAACTCTGTTGTACAAGAGTGCACCAGATGTGCTGGGCAGGGTTTTCATAGCAGCAATTCCTAGGGTTTCACGGCTGTAGGATGGCGGGGAACAGCTGCCTGCTGTGCAAGACGGTGTTTAAGGACGACGGCAGGTTACAGTCCCATGTAGCGAATGGGGCTGTTTGTCGCGAGGAGTTGAAGAGGAAGCGTGAACAACTTTTGTGGGCGGCATATTTGGAAGCCGTTGCGTGCGAAGGAGAGAGTAGACCAAATACCCCACCGGCATCCAGGCTTAAAAACAACGATGGCAGCTTTCTCTCCGTTGCTCCAACGGTGTCGATACCCGAAGTTAGTGTGGTTGGCGACGCGGATACACCATCCGACGGCGCTAACGCCGAGTCTACAGAAGGCAGCGATAGGACGGAGATTTTTTATACACTGACAGAGTTGTACCTATTTTTCCGTGACGCCGATCTGTCGCACCGGGAAGTTAACCGTCTTCTACACATTTTCCGCAACCCTCGCTTCAACCTTGTGGCTCTCAGATGATGGCGCAACTGGGTGGATGTGCGCCGCTGGGGCATGGCGCGAGCTCCAGCCGACATGGTCCCGTGGAAAACGGAGGAGATAGTGGTGAGGGGTCCCAAAGAGCTGCTACTGCACTTCCGCGACACCGAGTTGGTACGTGATGGGAGGCCAACCTGGAGGCGATGTCGGGGTGACGTGTAGATGAAGTTGGCCCGCAGCATGTTCTCACCCAGGTTTCTGCGCTACGCACACAGATTTTGAAGAAGCTGGTGCGAACGTTCTCATCCAAAAAGGGGTTTGTATGGAAGCCGAGGAAGATTTATCGGAAGAAGAACAACGAGAGGGTATTTGAAGGACCGGAGACAGGTGATTGGATGCACTCTGCTCAGGTACGCACATGTTTGTTGTTCAGTTGTCATATGTCGTGCACACTGGTACTTGCACGAGGTGTCACAACGCTCACCGGCCCGTGCGCTCTACATGGCAGAAGGAGATTAATGACGACCAGGCACTCGTACTAGGCGTGCTGATATACAGCGATAGCACGCAGGCATCACGGAATGGACGAAGGAACGCGTGGCCTGTGCTGATCTCACTTGTCAACATACCCGAAGAATTGCGAGGAGTGGAGCCCGGGCACACATTGGCGGCGGTGCTTCCATTCCCGCCTGAATGGGCGTCGCCTACGGAGAAGACGCGCGTGTTTCCAGGAGGCGCTGAAGATAATACTCGCGCCCATCATGCGAGAGTCCGCCAGGTACTGGGAGGGGATGGGGGTGGGGATGATAACGATACACGGGTGGGGAAGGGGGGCCACCCCAGTTAGTAGCCACCCTATTGGGAGATATGCATACGATCCATCACTAAGTGAACACTATGTGTGCATTGCGGCATTATGCAGCGCGCCAGTACGCTTCTTTTACTGCACAGACGCGGACGGGAAGGTGCACAAGGCGGTCCCTTGCCTGTACGGATACCCTGCCGACTTCCCGGAATCCAGCAGAGCCTCCGCAACTCTGCAGCAAGGATCGCATCGGCCATGCGCTAACTGCTATGCTGTGAAGGGGGAGTTGACCATGATGGTGGGGAAGTGTGATCCACTGACCTCCGATCAGCAGAGGGACATTGTTCGTCAGATCTTGGCGTGCAAGAAGAAGGGCGAGGCAGACGATGTGCGGAAGTTATGGTCAACCCATCCGATCGAGGTGTGTTAGCTGGTGCGCGGTTTGGTGGTGCGTACTGAATGGGGGCTGGATATCATGTGGACTGTTTGACAACACTGTGTCGTCTGTTGGATGGTTGCAGTGCATGCTTCAAAGGTGGAATTTTGCAGACACAAAGTGGGGAAACGTGTACCTGGCATGCCTAGCAGACACACTGCACGTGCTGGACTCCGGTGTGCTGATCCACATGATGGACTCCTACATCGAACCCCTTGGAAAGGTTGAGATGCGGCTGCTTGAAAGGTGAGTTAGGTGTAGTCGGGTGTGAGAGTGGTAGCCAACTATATTCTGCAAGGGTTTAGGTGGGGTCTAGGCCCCCATGTGTGTCAGCGGATGACGACATCGTACTATGTATGTGCGCAGCCGCAAGAAGGAGTTCAAGCGTTTCACTCCAAGCGTTCTCCTCCGTATCCCTGGGGGATCATCGTTCTTCAGTTCTGGCGCAAACTACGCGGCGTTCGAGCACAGGAGCATGATGCAGATAATGCCGATACTGGTGGCAGACGAGAGTGCATTGAAGGACGGACCGGAGGGAGAGCTGCGTGCTTTGCAGGTCAAGGCGTTCCGGCTGTATGCCATGTTCTACAAGGCGTTTCTGGGGGTTGACAAGCACACACACACGACAATTGCGATTGCCCGGCATCATGCGATAGTGTGAGTACTTGTATACCCCACGCCGTTGGGTCAACAAGATTTATGGGAGGCTATGCCTCAAGATTGCACAGCAATTTTGAGGTCGCCAAATACGGTGATGCATCCAGTATTGTGCCTTGTCGGGGTGCCGGTGCAGGTTGGTGGCGTTGCTACCGAAGGCATTCCCATCGCAGGCATCCCACTAGAAGCTCCCAAAGATACACATGATAAGACATTTGCTGGACAATGTGAAGGAGCGTGGGATGCCGCACCACTATTCAACCGAAATGTGGGAGCGCACGCACAAGGGCACGATGAAGGGTCCAGTAAGAGGGAGCAATTGGAGCGACATACCTCGACGTAACGTGGAGGAGGTGCAGCGCGAGGTGTACCGCGAGGTGGCGGCGGACGCTGGGGGTGGGCGACAGCACGCGTGCGCCTTGCGTGAGGTGTGTTAGGGGGTCTTGGCAACGATGATGCCTAGTGTTGGTGTCAAACACTATATGTGTTATTATTGTGTAGGCTATAGTGGGTTAGCCTTTAGGGGGTACACAAAGTTAGGGTTTCCTACTTGTACTCCAACTTTCATAGTGCAATCACTTCTTCTTCATAACATGGAATCAGAGCAGGTCCTCCGCTAGGACCGATTCCTAAGGCCCACCACTACTGCTACCTACTAGCGCCCTCGTGCGCCCTACTGTCGGAGCGCCCTCGAGCGCCTCCCCCCTAGCGCCCTCGTGCGCCTCGTTTTCACGGCCCCCTAAGGCCCCGCGACCCGCGACCCGCCCCCCTAAGGCCCCGCGACCCGCGACCCGCCCCCCTCTTGCGACCCGCGCGCCGCCCCTTAGAGGCCCCGTCCACCCCGCGCGCCGCCCTTTAGAGGCCCCGCTGGCCTCGCTTAGAGGCCCCGTCGGCCCCGTTTTCCCCGCGCGCCCATTCTTTAATGGCCCCGTCGGCCCCGTCAACCCCACGTGCCGCCCCTTAGCGGCCCCGCTGGCCCCGTCGACCCCGCGCGTCGCCCCCCTTAGAGGCCCCAGCCGGCCCCGTCGACCCCACGAGCCGCCCCTTCGCGGCCCCGCTGGCCCCGTCGACCCCACGCGCGACCCCCTCTTAGAGGCCCCGTCGGCCCCGTTTGCCCCTTAGCGGCCCCGTCGGCCCCCTCTCGACCCGCGCGCCTCCCCTTAGCACCCCGCTGCGACACCCATGAGCCGCCCAGCCCGAACCGAGCCGCCCGAACCGAGCCGCTCAGCCTGAACCGAGCCGCGCCGCCCGAACCCAGCCGAGCCGCCCTACCCGAGCCGAGCCGCCCTACCTGAACCGAGCCGCGCCGCCCGTACTGGATCGAGCCGCCCTACCTGAGTCGCCCTGCCTACTGTTTTTAGGGTGCAACTACTGCTACTCTACTGCTGCTATGGCTAGCCCTCCTGTGCTAGCTTTCGATGCTGAGGGCCGCCCAGTGAAGTTCGATACCTGGCTAGATGACCTACACCTCTTCCTACAGCTCACTGCCAAGGAGGACATCTCACTGTACGATCACGCCCTAGGCCATGCTACTGCTCCTGCTGCTACTGATGACAGCACTGCCCGCTCACAGTGGCAGACTCGTGACGCCCACTCTCGCTTCGCTATTCGCAACTCCCTGCCGATAGACGAGCGCGAGCACTTTGGCCAGCACAAGACTGCACAGGCACTGTACACCGCTGTCGTTGCCGGCTACTCCTCACCTGCCTCTGCCGCGCTAGGCCGTCTCTCACTTCCCTACCTGCTTCCCGACCTGGCCTCGTTCCACACTGTCGCTGACCTCATCACGCACCTCCGTACTAGTGAGGCCCGCTTCCGTGCCGCCATGCCCGATGAGTTTCTTGCCAAGAACCCTCCCCTGCTCTAGCTCACTCTCTACCACCTAGTCACCCGCCTCCTTGACACTCTGCGTGCTGTCAGGGATCACTTCCTAGCTCGCTGCCCCACTGAGCTCACCATTGCCCTCCTCAAGAAGGAACTGCTTGCAGCTGAGGCTAGCATAGTCGCTGTAGGTGCCTCTCGTGGCGACTCCCGCACCCCTTTCTTTGAGGGGTGTTCCCCTTCCCCCCTTCTTCCCTCTATAGCCTCTGCTTCTACTGTCAACCTCCTTGGTTCTGAGAAGGTCGGGGCTGCGTCTGCCTCGAGCGGGCGCCGCAGCGGCAAGGGCAAAGGGGGCAAGGGAGGCTAAGGTGACGGCGGGGGAGGCGGTGGTGGGGGTGGTGGCGACGGTGGGGGTGGTGGTGGGACTGGTGGGGCTAGAGGCAGCGGTGGGGGTGGTGGCGGCAACAGCGGGGGCGGTGGCAGGGGCGGGGGCGGTGGTGGGGGCGGCGCTGGACGCGGCGGCGGCAGGGGAGGAGGCGGTCGAGGAGGTGGTGGCGGCAATGGTGGTCGTGGAGGCACTGGCGGTGGCCAGAGCCTACAGCACTCTCCGTCGCCCCAGGAGCTCCGTGAGTGGTACGCTCAGCACGGGGGGGGGGGGGTGGTGGCCTTAGCTGCACGTACGTCATCCGCACTGGTGACCGCACTGGTCAGACGTGTGGGAGGGCGCACCCCACGCAGCACTGCTTCTCACGCCTCGACAATGCTTGCCGTACTCAGTTCCCTGACGCCATTGCGCTGCCCCGCTGGGCTGATCTGATGAAGAAAAACATTGATATCTTTGCTCTAGACTTTGATCCTATTCTCCCTGCCATGTATGTGATGTCTATTAGTGGAGAGGGTGCCCAGTACCTGCGTGTTCCGCCCGACCCGGGCATTCGACCCGGTGAGGCTACCGCTCTAGGTGCTAGACTGTCTGCTACCCCAGGTGCTGGTGAGGCTGCTGCTCTAGGTGCTGGTGCGTCTGCGCCCCCTGTTACTGAGTCGACTGAGGCACTGCACACCTTTACACTAAACTCAGGTGCCTCCCGCTGTTTCTTTCGTGACCGCCACGGCTCTTGTGCAGCCTGCTCGGCCCGTTGCAGTCTCTCTCGCTGACCCCTCTGGGGGTCTAGTCCTTGTGACCTCCTCCACTGTCCTCCCCTGTCCGGCCGTCCCGTCGGGCACACTGTCCGGTCTCTACCTCCCCTCGTTCTCTACAAACTTGGTGGCGGGTAGTGCGCTCCAGGACAGGGGTGTCCACCAGTTCACCCCTGCCTACGAGCGCATGACACACTGCACGTGTGCTCGGACGAGCCGTCACCTGGCGACCTTCACACGGCAGCCAGGGTCGGACCTGTACACACTGACTACTGAGTCCCCGCAGGTAGCTGCGTCTGCGTCTGCGTCAGGTCAGCTCTCGGCCCCCTGCTCGTGCTGCGCTCTGGCGCACAAGACAGTCCTCTGGCACCACCGACTTGGTCACTCGTCGGTGCAGCGCCTTCGGGCAATGCACAAACGGTACCTTGTCTCTGGTCTTCCCAGGGTTCTCCCTCACCTCCCAGCCTCGCCTGCTCCTCCCTGCCTTCCCTGTGTCGAGGGGCGGCAGCGCGCTGCTCCTCACTCCTCCTCGTTTCCCCCGACGACTGCTCCCTTGCAGACGCTCCACATGGACGTGTGGGGCCCCGCCCGCATCTGTGGTCAGGGTCAGGAAAGGTACTTCCTGATAGTTATTGACGACTACTCGCGCTACACCACGGTCTTCCCCTTGCGCACCAAGGGTGAGGTCCCTGATGTTTTGATCCCTTGGATCCGCGCTTCCCGTCTTCAGCTCAGCGAGCGTTTCCACTCGGACTTTCCTGTCCTGCGCTTTCACTCTGACAGAGGTGGTGAGTTCTCTTCTGACCTCTTGGCAGCCTACTGTGCGGAGCACGGCATCCACCAGTCGTTCACGCTTCCAGCCTCTCCACAACAGAATGGGGTTGCTGAGCGCCGCATTGGCTTGGTCATGGAGGTCACTCGTACCTCCTTGATCCATGCGGCTGCCCCCCACTTTCTGTGGCCGTTTGCGGTCCGATACGGTGCGCATCAGCTCAACCTCTGGCCCCGTGTCTCCTTGCCGGACACCTCCCTGACACTGCGTTGGACGGGAGAGGTTGGCGATGCGTCGCGTTTTCGGGTCTGGGGATCCCGAGCTTTTGTTCGCGATACGTCCGCAGACAAGCTCTCCTCCCGCGCTGTTCGGTGTGTCTTCCTAGGCTTTGTTCCGGACGCGTCTGGTTGGCAGTTTTACCACCCTACCTCGCGCCGTGTCCTCGCCTCTCAGGACGTCACCTTTGACGAGTCGGTACCCTTCTACCGCCTCTTCCCCTACCGCACTGCCCCTTTCCCTCCCCCGCCTCTCTTCCTCGCGCCAGGTGCTGCTGTAGTAGACCCCCTCCCCCCTCAGGGTGCCACTCCCTCAGCTGTGTCCCAGGTAGACCCGGTTGAGCCTGTCGAGGTAGCTGTCGACTCTCGTCCTGCTCGGGGTGCTGAGCCTGAGCGTGCGGAGCCTAGGGTTGCGGAGACTGGGGGTGCTGAGCCGGGGGGTGCAGAGTCTGGGGGTACTGAGCCTGGGGGTGCGGAGTCTGGGGGTGCTGAGCCTGGGAGTACGGAGCCTGCTTGTGCTGAGTCTGGGGGTGTTGAGTCTGGGGGTGCTGAGCCTGGGAGTGCTACGCCTGGAGGAGCTCTCTCCTCACAGCAGCTTCGTGAGAGGTACTTATAGAACTGCAGCCTCAAGAGAGGTGCTTCTGGAGCTAGGGGTGCTGCTGGAGCTGGTACTCGTGCTTCCTCGCCTGGGCGGGAGCTGCCCTCTCCCCAGCGTCTTCGTGAGTGATACGCACGGCGCTGCAGTCTCAGGAGTGGCGCTCCTAGTGTCGCGGACCCTGCTACTGGTGCTGCGGACCCGGGCGTTGGAGCTGCTGCTGGTGCTGCAGACCCGGGCGTTGGAGCTGCTGCTTGTGCTGCGGACCCGGGCGTTGGAGCTGCTGCTGGTGCTGCGGACAAGGGCTTTGGAGCTACTACTGGTGCTGCGGACCCGGGCGTTGGAGCTGCTACTGGTGCTGCAGACCCGGGCGTTGGAGGTGCTGGGGGTGCTGCTGGAGCTGCTGGAGGTTTTGGTGCTGTCTCTGCTGCTGCAGGGGGCACCTCACGGCCGCGGCCGTACTTTGTTCCACTCCTTCAGCAGGTTCTTAGTCAGTCACCTCCACCTTGTCCCCCTCCCTCTGTAGAGTGTCCACCGCCGGTCCAGTCGCAGTCACAGCTTCCGCCTGCCTCGCCACTTCCTTGTCCTTCTCCCAACACTGGTCCTACAGGCGGTCTCACAGAGCGTCGTCACCCTGAGTCTCGCCCTGTGTCGCCTGTGTCCCGTCCTGAGTCCCCTGTTCGTACTACTTCCACCACTTGTAGTACTCCGCGTGAGCATCCGCCACCAGTCCCTGGCACACACCGGATGTCACTGCGTCCCTCCATTGCTTCACAGCGTGTCCCTCTGCCGTCTCGTTCTGAGTCCTCTCTTCCTGCTCTTGCTGACCCTGAGTCTGACTCTCTTCGTGCTGCCAGTCCTACTGTCACGCGTCTCCTGGCCACTGCTGTCACTAACTCTTCCTTTGAGTCTGCTGCTGCGTTTGGCCTAGTTGCTGAGCTTGTCGACTTGGGTACTACTGCAGATGACCACTCTTCGGGTACTACTGCACGTTGCTGCTCAGCGTGACTACGAGCTTCACTCTCTTGACTTCAGCACAGCTTTCTTGCAGGGCAGTCTGCACGAGGAGATATGGCTGCGCCGCCCTCCTGGCTTCACTAGGTCGTTCCCTCTTGGTACCTAGTGGAGCCTCCGTCGGCCGGTCTACGGTCTCCGCCAGGTGCCACGTGAGTGGCACGACACACTGAGGACTACTCTTGCGGCACTTGGGTTCTCTCCTTCGACTGTTGACCCGTCGCTGTTTCTACGCACCGACACTTCGCTGCCGCCGTTCTACATCCTCGTGTACGTCGACGACTTGGTCTTTGCCACAGCTGACACTGAGTCTCTCGCCCACGTGAAGTCGGAGCTGCAGAAGAGACACACGTGCACAGACCTGGGGAAACTGCGCAGCTACCTTGGCTTGCAGATCACCCGGGATAGAGCACGCTGCACCATTACCCTGACTCAGTCACACATGGTGCAGCAGGTCCTTCAGCGCTTCGGCTGTGAAGAAGTGAACGCGAATGAATGAACTATGAATGAAGTGAGTACAAGTACTAACCCTAATTGGGTTGTACCCCCTATGGGATACCCCACTATAGCCTACACAAAAGCATAAGCTATAATGTTCCGACACACCCCCATAGGCAAAGTGGGGGAGAACAAGGGGTCACAAGACCAGTGAAGCAAAGTAAAGCAAAGCAAGCTCAGGGTGGATCACAACGTCACCACACAGTCTGAGCACAAGGTCAAGGCCACAAGGCCAGTTCACATGCAGGAGGAGACATATATATATATAAGTCTAAACAAGCAAGAGTAGGTATATATATATATACAAGAGTACAAGTAAGGTCAAGAGGTGAGCAAGTGAGGCAAGACTGGGACAAGTCCCGGCTGAGTGCAGAAGCGCTGATGAAGACAAGGCGGAAGTGCCTTGGTGAAAACATCAGCAGTGTTGGCCTCAGAGGCCACGTACGCAAGTCGCAACTGACCACGCTGTTGCAGCTCACGAGCAAGAAAGTAGCGGAGAGCAATGTGCTTCGTTCTGTGCTCCAGGCGCTGCTCTCGACACAAGGCCAGCATGGCCTTGTTGTCTACGTACAGCAGTGGAGGAGAACGAGGCGGCTCTCCAAGGTCAGTCAGCAGGTAGGTGAGCCTGCGAAGCTCCTGAGCAGCCATGGCCCCGGCGTAGATCTCAGCCTCACAACTGGAGCCGAGAACAGAAGACGAGCGAGTAGCCCGCCACTAAACAGAGCCAGAACCAAGACTGAAGGTGTAACCCTGCGACGACCGCTGAGTAGCCTAATCGTCAGCCCAAGAAGCGTCCGCGTGCCCAGTGAGGACCACTAGACTCCGCCCTCCAAGCACTAGCCCCATGCCCGACGTACTGCACAAGTAGCGCAACACCCTCTTCGCTGCAGCCATGTGCTCTGGTCGGTGTCTCCCAGGAGCAACATAGCGTGCCAAGATGCTAAGAGGGTATGCAAGGTCAGGTCGTGTGCAGGTCATCAGGTACATCAGGCAGCCAACAAGCTCTGGGTACGGGCCACTCGACTCTACGGACTCATCCGAAGGCAGAGCTGAGAGCGAGTGGCGAGTAGACAGAGGAGTGGCCTGAGGCGAGGAGTACGTGAAGCCGAAGCGCTGAAGGACCTGCTGCACCATGTGTGACTGAGTCAAGGTAATGGTGCGGCGTGCTCTGTCCCGAGTGATCTGCAAGCCAAGGTAGCTACGCAGTTCACCCAGGTCTGTGCACGTGTGTCTCTTCTGCAGCTCGGACTTCACGTAGGCGAGTCCAGCAGTGTCCGCAGTGGCAAAGACCAAGTCGTCGACGTACACGAGGATGTAGAACGGCGGCAGAGAAGTGTCGGTGCGCAGAAACAAAGACGGGTCAGCAGTAGAGGGAGCAAACCCAAGAGCCGCAAGCGTAGTCCTCAGTGTGTCGTGCCACTCACGCGGTGCGTGGCGGAGACCGTAGACTGGCCGTCGGAGGCTCCACAGAGTGCCAGGGGGGAAAGTCCGAGTAAAGCCAGGTGGACGGCGCAGCCAGATCTCCTCGTGCAGGCTACCATGCAAGAAAGCAGTGCTGAACTCAAGAGAGTGGAGCTCGTAGTCGCGCTGAGCAGCTATGTGCAGCAGCACCCGAAGAGTGGTCATCTTCGGGGTGGGAGAGAAGGTCTGAAAGTAGTCAACTCCCTGCCGCTGACTGAAGCCACGAGCCACGTACCGCGCCTTGAAGACAGGTGGAGAGCCCGGCGGCCGCTTCACCCTGAAGATCCACATCCCACTGACGATGTTCGCCCCAGGAGGGGGAACCGCGTCAACGTAGGTGCCTGTGGACTTCCAGGAAGCCATCTCTGCATCCATAGCTGCCTGCCACTGAGAGGAGTAGGGACCCTCTACGGCCTCCGCGTAAGAGCGCGGAGTCGGGATGTCTAGTGCATCCGGGTCTCCCTCAGGGGCAAGCAGTACAGACGTGAGATGAGGTGAAGCAGCAGCCAGACACTGAAACTCCTCCTGCCTGTCCTCAAGGACGTCCGTGCCAAGAGCACACTCACCCCCGACGGACGGAGGACAGGCAGACGCAGACTCAGCAACAAGACTAGCAGCGTAGTCTAGACGACAGCAAGCAGCTAAGTCGACGAGCTCAGCAACAAGAGCAGACGCAGCAGTGGACTCAAAAGAGGGGTCAGTGACGACAGTAGCAAGGAGACGCGTGACAGTAGGACTGGCAGCACGAAGGGAGTCCGACGCCGGGTCGGCAAGCGCAGGAAGAGAGGACTTAGGAGGAGAAGGCAAAGGGGCACGCAGAGGAGCAGTGGAGGGACGCAGAGACATCCGGTGCGTGCCAGGGACAGGAGGAGGACGCTGACGCGAACCACGATCACTAGCGCGAGCAGTACGGACAGGCGACGCGGGACGAGACGCAGGGTCACGACGCTCAGTAAGACCTCCAGTAGGACCAGTGTAAGGAGAGGGAGCAGGCAGTGGGGAGGCAGGCTCTAGCTGTGACGGTGAAAGGACAGGCGGTGGACACTCTACAGGAGGAGAAGGACCAAGAACCTGCTGCAGGAGCGGAACGAAGTACGGCCGAGGCCGCGCGGCGGCACCAGACACAGCAGGGACAGCACCAGCACCCTCAGCACCTCCAGCAGCACCAGCGCCAACAGCACCTCCAGCGGCAGGACCTCCAGCAGCACCAGCAACACCCGCAGCAAGACCACCACCAGGACGGACAGTAGTAGTCTCAGAACCAGCACCCTCAGCAGCTCCAGCTCCAGGCGGACCCGCAGGCCCAGGAGCTCCGGGACCGGCGGCACCAGCACCCTCAGCGGCCGAAGAAGCGCCAGCTCCAGCAGTACGCCTCCAGCGGCGAGCAAACCACTCACGCAGCTCCTGTGGAGAGAGTGGCTCCCGCCGAGACGAAAAACCCGGAGAACTCCCAGGCCCAGCACCGCTAGACGCCACAAGGGGAGGTCCAGTGGCCGCAGGCTCCACACCTCCAGGCTCAGCAGCTCCACACGCAGCACCCCCAGGCTCAGCACCCCCAGGCTCAGCACCCACGCGCGCAGCACCCCCAGAGTCAGCACCCCCAGGCTCAGCACCCCCAGGCTCAGAACCCCCAGGCTCAGCACCCCCAGCAGTACCTGAGTCACCAGCAACCTCGACCGGCTCGGCTGCATCTACCTGGGACACACCTGAAGGGGCAGGACCCTGAGGGGGAAGGGGGTCTACCTGGGGGGGACCTGGCACAAGGAAGTGCGGTGGCGGGGGGAGGGAAGGAGTGCGGTAGGGGAAGAGGCGGTAGAAGGGGACGGACTCGTCGAACCTGAAGTCTTGGGAGGACAGAACATGACGAGAGGAGGGGTGGTAGAACTGCCACCCTGGGGCGTCAGGGGGGAAGCCTAGGAAGACACAGGGAGCAGCACGAGGGGACAGCTTGTCCGCAGACAAGTCCCGGACAAACGCCCGAGATCCCCAGACACGGAACGCAGACGCATCGCCGACCTTCCCCGTCCACAGCAGAGCTGGGGAGGTCTCCGGCCGGGAGACCCTGGGGTGAAGGTTGAGCTGATGCGCCGCGTACCAAACCGCAAACGGCCACAGAAAATGGGGGGCAGCCGCATGCATCATGGACGTACGAGCGACGTCCATGACCATGCCAATGCGGCGCTCAGCAATCCCATTTTGCTGTGGAGAGTCCGGAAGCGTGATGGTCTGGCGGATGCCTCGTGCACGACAGTAGGTTCGCAGAAGGCCAGAGGAGAACTCTCCGCCTCGGTCAGAGTGCAGACGCAGAACAGGAAAGTCCGAGCCGAAGCTCCTCCTGAGCTGGAGACGAGCTGCGCGGATCCAGTCGATCAACACCTCAGTGACATCACCCTTGCTGCGCAAGGGGAAGACTGTGGTGTAACGCGAGTAGTCGTCAACCACCAGCAGGAAGTAGCGCTCGTGACCCTGTCCACGGACGCGGGCCGGGCCCCACACGTCCATGTGAAGCGTCTGCAGAGGAGCCTCTGTCGGGGGAAACTGGGAGGAGTGAGGGGCAGCCCGGAGCCGCCCCTCGACACAGGGGACACAGGAAGGTCCTGGCCCCGAAGGAAGGGGAGGGAGAGACCGGGGGAGACCAGAGACAAGGACACGGGAAGCCATGCCTCGAAGACGAGGCAAGGAGGGGTGGCCAAGACGGTGGTGCCACAAGAGAGTCTCGTGAGACAGGAGGCGACACGAGCAGGGGGCAGACTCAGGACCAGACCTGGACGCAGCAGCAAACACGTGACCCGACGCAGCTACCTGGCCAGACGCAGGGACTGGAGGAGACTCAGTGGTCAGGGTAAACAGAGTCGACCCGGGCCGACGCGAAAACGTGGCTAGGTGTCGGCCTGTGCGGGCGTCCGAGCAGTGGGTCACCCGCTGACTCGCAGGAGTAAACTGGTGAACCCCCGCATCATGCAGGTCAGCACCACTCACCAAGTTCGTCGAGAACGAGGGGAGGTACAGACCCGACAGGGTGCCCGAGGGGGCAG